TTCATATTGCTAATTTGAGAGCATTACGTAAAGAAGTGGTTCCTAAACTTTTTTGTACCATCGTCCCCTACAGTAATTTACACAACTTCATCGCCCCCCCGAACTACAAAAGATGTGAAGTTAGAAACGAATGTCTTACAGATCAAATAAACAAGAAGACAAATCATATTTCATAGTGTTTTTTTATATTCTTCAGCGTGTTTTGACATTTTCAACTGGTTACTGAAGGATCTCGTTGTTTTAAAGCTAGTTCTGTGGCGAGGGTAGATAATATTAGTATTTTGTGCTACATTGTGTTTAAATATTAATTGAGATATTAAACGCATGCAGAACGGTTGAAAATATGTTAGGAATTCCTATAGCATATAATGGGTTAATTCTGAAACGCCTTGCTGTAGATATGATTGGAATTAGAATATCATATAACGGTTGATTGAAGAACGTTACTTTCGTTTAATTTTTACTGGTTTCCATCTATCGTATATCTTGTCTGGTTATAGAAGGGTCAAAAAATGCAGCAAACGACTACATCAACGTTTATTAGCCACAAGGAAACATCCACATATAAACTCCACGTTTGCAAACATTGTGGGAAACATTTTACAAGAAAAAGTAATTTACAAATACATACGAGAGTACATACAGGAGAAAAACCTTATGCCTGCAATTCGTGCGGAAAATGTTTTACATCGCCAAGAAACTTGAGAGTTCATATGCGAATCCACACAAGAATGAAACCATATACATGCAAATTTAGCGGGAAGTGTTTCACTTCAAATGGCAATTTGAAAAGACATATTTTAACTCACGCCGGAGAAAAACCAGTCACTTTGTAGAAAATGTTTTAGAAAAAGTGAAAGTTTAAAAAAACATATTTCATCTCGCACTGGAATCAAACCATACACATGCAAATTTAGTGGGAAGTGTTTCACGTCAAATGGCAATTTGAAAAGACATATTTTAACTCACGCCGGAGAAAAACCAGTCACTTTGTAGAAAATGTTTTAGAAAAAGTGAAAGTTTAAAAAAACATATTTCATCTCGCACTGGAATCAAACCATACACATGCATATTCTGTAGAAAAGAAACCATATACATGCAAATTTAGTGGGAAGTGTTTCACGTCAAATGGCAATTTGAAAAGACATATTTTAACTCACGCCGGAGAAAAACCAGTCACTTTGTAGAAAATGTTTTAGAAAAAGTGAAAGTTTAAAAAAACATATTTCATCTCGCACTGGAATCAAACCATACACATGCATATCCTGTGGAAAAGGTTTTACGACAGCCGGAAATTTGAAAATACACACACGAATTCATACCGGGGAGAAGCCATTCCTTTGTAAGCATTGCGGAAAATGTTGTAGAGCGTTGAGTGATATGGAAGTTCGTGACAGAATGCATACAGGAATCAAACCGTATGCATGCAAATCCTGTGGAAAATGTTTTCCTCAAATTGGATATTTGAAAAAACATGGATTGATTCACACAACAGAATAAACCTTATGTCAGATTTAGGCACACAGATGTTCCATGTCATACGCGTTTATTGTAAAACGGTTGACTGTAAAAAAGTGAAATAATCAATAAACAATCACAAGATGAGGGCGGAACGAAAATGCATAACCAGAAAGTTAATAGAAAATAAACTTACATATGATAACGCTCCAAAGGCCTAAACCGACAAGAAACTGACAGGTAACGTGAACGATCAATATAATAGCAACTAAATTTAGAAAGCAGTTAATAAGAATGAAATATAAAATACATGAACAATTAAAGCAATAAATGACGACGATGGTCATATGGGGCCCCGGTTACGATACCCTCACCACAGTTCTACCTAACGAGACCAAATGCCACCCACACGCTAAGTCAGTTAAGCAGATAATGCGAAACCACACCACTAACACCATAACAAGATTAAACAAGAACGTCCTACGACGCGTAAAGTCGAGATGCAAGAGCCACGCGTGACACGTCAGATGCAGTAAAGCCCGCGAAACGCGCGTCAAAACAGAAAAGTAATTATCGATAAAAATTAGCCGGTCGGAACACAAGGAAGAACAGCGTTCAACATATTATCAACTGAAAAGAAACTTCTATCGCCGACAGGAGTATTTCGGACAATTTCGAATTTGAAATAAATGAAAACCCGACATACCATAATTAAGACACAAAAGTAAAATAGACATTCATTGAAAAAATTATTATTTAAGGAAGACAACATGATCGTACAATTTCGCCAAAACCCCGATGTTTGCCAGTGAGATGATAAATAAATACTTCCCCTGTATCAATTAACTTTATCGAATCGTTATTCTGCAAAAAACAGCCGGGTGCACAATATTACGATTGGGCAAAATATTCGGAAACCGAATCAAATATTACGGTAGTTACTTTGCGTTGTGGTGTTATTTGATTTCTTTTTGCGCCTAACGTCGATAAATAGCATCGATTTGAAAATGACCAATCAACGTTTTTCCCAAAGCTGGTATCAGTTACTGGTATGAAAACACTTTTTAAGTTGCAGCCAGATAGGAAATGACAGGCCATACTCCCTTTATCCAATGTACTTTTTATTAGCTCTTTAGTGATAACTTTCATTTAACATTTTATTCGACCATACATGGTCAGAACAAAAAAGATTTGGTCGCGAGTTACGTTAGATGACTGTAAAACGACGTTGTTTTTTAAGCAAAAGGTAGAACAATCAAATTTAAAAAAAAAACGGGGGTTACGACGCCCTTAACACATCATGTGTATTAAACTCCCCCATTGGTAAGTTGGTTACTCGATTACGCTATATACTTATACACCTGTTGGAATATTTCGGACAATTTCGAATTTGAAATAAATGAAAACCCGACATACCATAATTAAGACACAAAAGTAAAATAGACATTCATTGAAAAAGTTATTATTTAAGGAAGACAACATGATCGTACAATTTCGCCAAAACCCCGATGTTCGCCAGTGAGATTATGAATAAATACTTCCCATGTATTCGATCAATTAACTTTAGCGAATCGTTATTCTGCAGAAAACAGCCAGGTGCAGAATATTACGACTGGGCAAAATATTCGGAAACCGAATCAAATATTACGGTAGTTACTTTGCGTTGTGGTGTTATTTGATTTCTTTTTGCGCCTAACGCCGATAAATAGCATCGATTTGAAAATGACCAATCAACGTTTTCCCCAAAGCTGGTATCAGTTACTGGTATGAAAACACTTTTTAAGTTGCAGCCAGATAGGAAATGACAGGCCATACTCCCTTTATCCAATGTACTTTTTATTAGCTCTTTAGGGATAACTTTCATTTAACATTTTATTCGACCATACATGGTCGGTGGAATGTTAAAATTGTAAACAAGAGAGAGATAAAATCAATCGCGAATTTCGTTATAACAACGCACGATGGCTCGTTTACGAATTGTTGCGCCTGTCATCGTCGACAATAATTACATTTGTTGTATTTTGAAGCATTTTAGCAGTGATAATTAGGGCATGACATTAAAATCGTCAAGTGAGGTGTAGAAATTGCAAATTCCATAAATAAAATTGTGAATTACTCGGTAACGAATTTAGCTATAATAACCATCGGGGTATTGTTTTGTTGAAAAACAAGTCAAAACTTGAGGGAATCAGTTATAATTAGAGTTATAATCGAGTCTGATCCTCTATTAGACACAAAAGCCTTATAATCACGTAGAAATGCCTTCTTGCCAATTCATTTAATCACTATTTTGAATCAACATTCAGGATTCACGCAATCGCATATTTGCAAGGTTTATCTATCTGATACGAAAATAACACAAGAAGCATAGGAAAGTTAGTTATCGTCTCATTAATAAATATCTGCATCCCGGTGTCGATAATGATATTAGTGGAACGGTTAATTTGTAAACGGTGGTAATAGGCCGCGAGCCGAGGCCATTTATCTTTCAGTTTCGTAGCGCACATAAGGTAACTACCTGAAAATGATTTTAAAATGTTACTTAGAAATTTAGTAACAAATATTGCCTTGTTCCCACGTACAAAAGTTGCACGTTTTACGAAAAAGACGCTTTTACTACAATAAATATGTGTTACCATCTGTCCTATTTTCTCTGCTTTTCCGGTATCATGGGCCAATGAACGCAGACTTCTGCATGACGTGCCAATCAAATAAGTCAGCTGTAGGTGAATCCCCAGTGGTCGGATGAATATCAGGTGTACTACGACTGCTCGCTTTTGCGTTGAATAGCCTTTCCATAGTTTTTTTTTCAGTTATTATTACCGGTAGTTCAGTTATTCTAAGGAGGTATTGAAAAGTATAAGTAAGATATTAAACACTTGTATATCCTTACCATAAATAGCAATTTTAGTTGAGCACTAGCTCATAAGACTTTGTTAAATAGGTACGGTGCGGTAACTCCAAGAAAGGCTAGACCTAGAATAATATGTCACAAACAACGATATTTTCTGGCTTGCATGAAATGTTTATGATTAATTTAATGACTCTTCTTGACTATTCAGCAGACTTATACTACTATATAGGCCACAGCATATTTGGAAATAGAAATTAATGGCTGTTTCTGTAACAGTGTAATGCACGGTTGTGTGAAAGAGAAGAAAATAATCAATTTTACTAATGTCGGTTGGTCTAAATCTAAATTCATAGAGTCGACAAGAACCTGGGAAGCAATGATACTGTAAGTTATGCCGGAGTGGAAAGGAAAGTAGCATTGGAAACGATTGAGAGGTGAGAAATCAAGTTGTAGACAGACAGTTGATGTTTTAAAATATAGTCTAGGCCTATAGTCCATACTCATACTGTCATAGGGCACTTCAGACTGTGATATATCAAAATTTAGTGTAGATATAGTCTATACTGGTATGCAAACAGATTCAGATATTTTATTTCGTCGTGCATGAAACATTGTCAACAAATAATAATAAATTTAAATAAATCAAAAATACACAATGTTTCGCAATTGACGAGGAGTTGCGAAAGACTATTAAGTCATCGTGTCAGCGACACCTATATGCTGGATTACAGCAACAGATATAGCAAAAGACTTGGGTTTATCACGTACAATACGGTACTAAAAAGCATAGAAACAACAACAACGGATGATAAATAAAATACGGAAATATGAAGAGCCATGAGGACTTTGATTAAGGAAACCGGTACCGCTTGACGAGCGCAAGGGCGCCATCAAGCGAATGCGATATACCTCAATGTACACAATTAAACGAGAATAACGCTTATTAACATGACTAAGCACTTTGAAAACTGGATCGGCGTGCCCAGCAACGTTAATTTCAATTTGACAGAACTTTACTGGCTTAATGAACTGATGCATGCTGAAGCATGCATTTCTTTCACATTTAGGTTATATGATAAAAAGTTGTCGAAAGTGAAAAACAGAACTTGGCACATACAGAGTAAATGACGATGCGAATTTAGAATACAGTGGAAGAACACGATTGCATCCCGGTATGGTACCGGTAACGGTTCAGGGAATATACGACTAGAAGAAGATCAGACACATGAAAAGGCAATGTTTTCAGACTACTGGCAAAAATAAACATCAAGGTAATGATTTTTCAATGCATGTTTGAAGGAGATGTAGTTCATTGATCGAATACTGTCAGTGAGCGTGTTCCATAACTTGACACCAACGAATTTGATGGAGTTTTGAGTAAGCTTGGTGGAAAAGCGATCCACAAAGTAAGAGCCTTTAGCAGATGACCGTGTCCCATAGGAGTGAATACTGCTCTGCTTTGAAAAGTAGTTAGTGAATGCTGCAGGGAGTTTATTGTTATGGTGTTGATGCATTAACTTTAACACTTCAATTCTATGTATATCTACAAGTTTAATAATTCTTAGTTTATTATAAATAGGACTTAGTTGTGTGCGATAAGCAACATCAGAAATAGCGCGAATGGCCCGATTCTGCATAATTTCTAATCGGTGCAATAAAGATTTATCAGCAGAGCCCCATGCAACTACGCCATATTGAATATGGGACTGGAATAGGGAGTAGTAAACCATGCGTAATGTAGGTAGCGATGTAAATCTTTTAAGTTTATATAATATCCCAACCGACTTGGATAATTTAACGGCCAGGTTTGAAATTTGTGTATCCCATTTCAATTTGTTATCAATATATATGCCAAGGTATTTATAAGAAATAACGTTTTCAAGTTGTGTACCATCAATTTGGATTGACAGACCATTTAGAGATTTACGCCTATATGGTGATATTAACAATGTTTTAGACTTTTCTATATTTATTGTTAGTTTGTTAGATCTCATCCAATTAGCCACCTTTGCAATTTCAGCGTTTGCTCTTGATTGAAGAGCTGCATGGGATTTGTCGCTGTCGAGGAGGCTAGTGTCGTCAGCAAACAATTTGGTTGAGAGCGAAGAGCAGTGAACTATGTCATTGACATATACTAGGAAAAATAATGGGCCCAATATACTACCTTGTGGAACTCCGTGAGTCACTGGTAAGAGAGAGGAACAATAAGTTCCCACTTTGACATATTGTGATCTATCGCTTAGATAACTAGTAATTAGTTTATTTGCTTGTCCCCTGATGCCATAATGATTCAGCTTGTAAATTAAAATGTCATGATCCACAGTATCAAAAGCCTTTTTTAAATCTAAAAATGTTGCGCTAACGAACTCTTTTTTCTCTAATTTATCATAAACATAAGATATTGTATCTAAAATGGCGTGGGATGTCGAATGATTATTCTGAAAACCAAACTGAGATCTGTTTATAACATTATATTTAGTAAAAAAACTAATAAGTCGCTTATGGATCAAGCGCTCAAATATCTTATCAATCGATGAAAGGATTGATATCGGTCTATAATTTGGAACACATTTCTTATTTCCAGATTTGAAGAGGGGATTACTCGAGCAATTTTGAGACACGAAGGAAAGATTCCTAACGAGAGAGAACAATTAAAAAGTTCAGCTAAACATGGCGAAATGAGGTCAGCAACAAGTTTAAGGAACCGTGCTGGAATATTGTCTGGACCTACTGCCTTCCTATCTTTCAGATTTTGTATTTCTATTATCACTTCGTTTGAATCAGTCAAACTCATGAAAATGGACTGGCTTACACGATTGCGAAGAAAATGTTTGAAGCTAGTCATATCATTAGAAAACTTGTCTGAGAGACTGGACCCAACCGTTGAAAAGTACTTATTGAATTCGGTAGCGATTGAAATACCATCTTTAGTGATACAGCCATTCTCTCGGAAGATTTCATCAACATTTGATTTGGATTTATTATTTGTATGTGTAATTTGGTTAACTATCTGCCATGTTGTCCTTGGATTACCTTTGTTTTGGGCAATAAGATTTTGGTAATAAATTTGTTTTGCTTTATACAATGTTTTTGACAAAACATTTCTATAATTTTTAAAGTAGGAGCGTTGAGAGCTGTTACCTTTCAGAAAATGGGATTTGAAAATCTTATTTTTGTGTCGAATACAGCTATTTAACCCTTTACTCAACCAGGGCTTTAGTTTTAACCCATTCTGTCGTCGTGAAAGTGGCCGAAGGGGAGCATGGCGATCAATTAGAGTATTGATTGATAGTATAAATTCTTCAAAAGCACTATTGTAGTTCAGGGCATTCAATTGAAATGTATCAAACAAGTTATCAAAAATGCTCTGTGCATCTGTGCGAAAAGGGTCAATCGAGAAGTTTGACATGTCTATGGTGGCCCATCGTTGTCACGTGTAAAATTAAAAAAAAAATGAAAAAAATAAAATGGAAAAGCGAAAATAAAAAAATAGTTGTGAAAAAACATAAAAATAATTGAAAAAAAAAAAAAAAAATAAATTGAAATTAAAAAAAAAATTGAAAAATAAAACAAAATAAAAAAATTAATATTAAAAAAAAAAATTAAAAAAAAAAAAAAAAATTGAAAAAAAAATTGGATAAAAAGAAAATAAAAAGGTTGACAACGATGGTCCGCCTCGTGGCCCATCGTTGTCACGCGTTTTTATTTTTGGAAAATTTGATGCTGCTTGGGACCAACGTTGTCAGGCTTAATCCTACACGCACAAATGTGTTTCCTGGGTTTCTAACTCACTACTGATTTTCATGAGCAATATCCAATAAATTCAACATGAAAATGTTCTATAAATTCTCCATGCTACAAGTTCAACCACAAGCAATATATTTATAATAATGATAAGAGAATATAGAATTGGATACGAAAATTTTTTTTACGTGTAGAAGGTAATTTAATTGGAAAATGCTGCTTAACTGCTCAGACACTCGTGCGATGCCGGTACGGTACCGTCTGAGCGTACCGGTACCCATGCAATTATCGTGAAAGAATGGGAGATACGGATAGTCTCGTAGAATATAGTCTACTGAAACACTCTCTGCGCCTGCCCCATACCGTACAGCCGTAACGTACCGATCCAGACAAATGATAAATAGCCCGTGCCCAACCATTTATTTCAATCTATACCTCGACTCACTATATTCTACTAGGATCGAAGTATGGATTGAAATAAATGGTTGAGCACGGGCGACTTATCATTTGTCTGGATCGGTACGTTACGGCTGTACGGTATGGGGCAGGCGCAGAGAGTGTTTCAGTAGTCTATATTCTACGAGACTATCCGTATCTCCCATTCTTTCATGAGTGATTGTATGGCTACCGGTACGGTTAGACGCAAAGCGACTATAACCGACTACCGGTATTTGGTAAGACGGTACGGTACCGGCATCGCGAGTGTCTAGTCAACTGAGTAGTTAAGCAGCATTCTCCAATTAAATTACCTTATACACGTAAAAACAAATTTTCCGAATTTTCGTATTCAATTCTATATTCTCTTATCATTATTATAAATATATTACTTCTTGTTGAACTTGTAGCATGGAGAATTTATAGAACATTTTCATATTGAATATTGCTCAAAAAATCAGTAGTGAGTTTGAAACCCAGGGAACACATTTGTGCGCGTAGGATAAGGCTGACAACGTTGGTCCCAAGCAGAAGCAAATTTTCTAAAAATAAAAACGCGTGACAACGATGGGCCACGAGGCGGACCATCGTTGTCAACCTTTTTATTTTCTTTTTATTCAATTTTTTTTTTTTAATTTTTTTTTTTTTTAATTTTTTTTTGTTTTTTTTTCGTTTTTATTTATTTATTTTTTTTTAATTTTAATTTTTTTTTCTTAATTATTTTTATGTTTTTTCACAACAATTTTTTTATTTTTGGTTTTTTATTTAATTTTTTATTTTTATTTTCAATTTTACGCGTGACAACGATGGGCCACCATACATGTCCCTAGAAATTATGCAATCATTTTTATGAATAGGTGTTACACCACTAAGAGAACACATTATTGGGAAATGGTCTGTTATATCTGATAGAACAACATAGGAATTAATTTTCAAATTTGTCAAATTGGTGTACATGTGGTCGATCAATGTTGCAGAAGTTTGACCTACTCTAGTGGGTTTGGTTATCAAGGAGAAGGCATTATGAGAAATGAGCATATTAACATAATTGATAATTTGGACATTACTGGATGTTGAAAGCAAGTTAATGTTAAAGTCACCGACTATCAAAAAGTGTTTCTTAGCCAATTTAGCTAAAGATATTTCAAAAATATCAGTGAAATAAGTTATGTTTATAAATAATGCCAATAACCAATCTGCTAACAGTATTTGCCAAACTGATCTCAAACCACAAATTTTCGCAGTTGGAATAGACGATATTATAATCTGTAATTTCATTAAACGTAACGTCATCCCTGATAAAAGCAGCAACACCACCTGCTTTAGTGGCAGATGGGGCATGAAGGAAATTATAGCCATCGATGGTATTGAAGACATGATTTTGGGGTAATTTAGATTCGCTTATAGCAATTATATGAGGAGGTGATGGCAAATTTGATAATAGTGTAGTCAAATGATCTAAATTCACTGCTGGACTGTAGTACATGCAATGAGCATATATACGCTCATTGAGTACATCAGATAAAATGCATTATGTATTCAAGGTATTAGTTAGTATTTAGTGGTATTTTTACACTCATGCTGTTCCAAATATGATTTTCTTCCTCATTTTAGATACTGTACTACAAAAGAAAACGGCAATGTTCCACCAATCCGACCTAACGCAGGCTCTAATCCCTGCTGCTATCAGTGCTATAAAATGGATTAAACAAGAAGTCTTGAAGCGTAAAGGTATATGAGAATCATAATAGTTGCAAACAGCTTAGATGGGCTATTCATATTGAAATACTTTAGCACTTTTCTGCAATTGGAACTGCCCATCAAACTCATGTTGGAGACTTCATTGAGGTTTTCAATTCATTTTTTTCTCAACTATGAAGATCTTTTGAGGTTAACGAGGCATTAATAAATAAAGCTGAGGAATTTGTTTGTTCACTGTATGAAGAGGATATGAAGAATGTAAATGATACCAGGGCACGTCTATTTAACACTGGCAAACATAAGGATTATACCCAACAATGATTCACTGAAGAAGCATGTGGCCCTCAAATCAGTTCTTGAGTTGGCAAACTGCAAGTGTAAGAAAAATAGTCAAAATAATTTATGCAAGTGTGCCAAAATCAACTTAAATTGCACAGATTTTTGTTTTTGTATTGACTGCAAAATCACAGTACACTTATAGAGGAAAAGTCGATTTTCGAGATAGTGGATTTCGAAAACAATTCAGAAGAAAGTGAATTAGATATTGCAGTTGATTTAATAAGTATCATTTATTTTTTTTTTTTCGGACATTTGTTAGTGTCGTAGTCCTGTTTCTAGAAATAATATTGCCTTTGTTCAAATACATAACCACATAAACTAAAAAAAGACTAATTGTAATATTTCTGTTCACTATGTTATGTACATATTGTACATTCATTTAATTTTCTTGACTTTTCCGGTAAATTTCTAAGTGAGAAATAACTGATTTATTTGTGTTTTCGTGCTCACGATGTTAATTTGTGACTTCATTGCTTAAAAATAAATACGTTTGATAGCTTCTATAAAATGGATGTAGCTTTTTATGCTGTTCTTGTTGTAAACTGCTTGTGGTTATTACATAAAATTTATTCGCTAATGTGAATCAGCGTTGTTGGTGTCGCTGCTTTCGAGGTCACTCCGACTCCTGTCACACAATTAAAGTATTTTTTGTTGTTGGTTACATGTATGCCATATTTTTCGTAATCTACCTAATAAATTATGATTGACTGAGGAAGTCCGATTTTGGTCAGGCAAAACATTACAGGAATACATTTGTGTTAGTGTGCTGTAGGGCTCTCGAATTGCATAGTTCTTATGTATGTGTTGTAAACTTATGGTTATTGAATTTCCGGGAACCTCTTATATTCAATTTCGCATCAGGATTGTGGAACAAGCTGTAATGCGTTCAGTATGTTCATTTTCACACAAAACTGAAGAATTTATTTAGTTACCAGATGTGCGCTACGAAACTCATTTTCTGGGCGTTTTCAAGGCTTCGTCTCACGGCCCATATCCGTGGTAAGGATCTACTTATACATTTTTCAACAACGTCTTAGCATAACTTAACTAATAATAACTAAACAGGGCTATGGAAAGGCTGCCCAACTCAACGCAAGGTCGAGCAGTAATAACTAATATTCATCCGCTCGCTAACAGCTGATTCGATTCAATTGTTACGTCATGCAGAAGTCATTGTTCATTGCCGAAAATGTAGAGAATATAGGACAGATCGTAGCACATATTTCTTGTAGTAAAAGCGTCTTTTCCGTAAAACGTGCAACTTTTGGAAGTGGGAACAAGGCAATATTTGTTACTAAATTTTTAAGGAACATTTTAAAATCATTTTCAGGTAGTTACCTGATGTGCGCTACGAAACTCACTTTCTAGGCGTTTTTCAGGGCCTCGGCTCGCGGCCTATAAGTAAGTAAGATCAAAGCCGACGCAAAAGATAAAAATCAAAATAAATTTATTTTGGGCTTTGAAATCAGTCCTTAATGTCTAACAGCTTTTGCCGATGTAAACACACGGGTATACCAGAAATATAAAACTTCGATGTTCGCTGACCCGCAAGAATTACAATAATATCCCCCCAAAAGAGAAAGCGCGGGAATAGTGATTGCCAACTTTAGGGAATCGCCGTCGAAGCGAGCGCGGTGACAAAAACAAATGGCAATTATGATTAATTTAACTAGTAAAAAAAACCGCTTTGTTGCCGAGTTTTCCACGTATCTTTTAACTTTTCAATTTCCGAAAGAAGTATTGACCTCCGACGTTCTGGACCCCGGTTGTGTATGAAAATATTCGACTATTCGGTATTCGTAAAAAACTATTTAACTCGAAAAAAAAATATTTAAAGTTGGATTGGCGTTTCCGAAAGACAATACATGGTATAACACGTACAAGCAATATCCAGAAAAAAAAATGATAGGTCATAATCGTTTTAACTTTCGATTAGCTCTTTAGTGATCTCTTCTATCCTTGGCCAAGTATTGTTTCGAAAATGTGAACCTTCTGCTCAGCCATGCATTGCGGGTGGAGTGGAGAAATCGTGAACAAGAGTATAAGTATATAAGTAAAATCAATTGTGAATTTCGATGAAACAACGCACAATGTTTCGAAATGATTACATTTGTTATATTTTGAGTATTTTTGCCCTAATAATTAGGGCGTGACGTTATCAAAATCGTCAAGTGAAGTGGTGAATTTGCAAATTCCGCAAATAAAATTGTAAATTACTGGGTAAAATTTTAGCTATAATTATCGCCGGGGTATTGTTTTGTTGAAAAAAGTTAAAACTTGAAGGAATTAGTTATAATTAGCGCCTGGCCCTTTATTAGGAACAAAAGCACTCTAGCCAATTTTTTTTTAGCATTAAGTCGTAAATGTAAAATATCCTTCAAGAAGTGCCGTTTATTAACGCCATCTCGTCTTATGACCTCGCAGAAATGCCTCTATTGTCTAATTATTTATTCACTATTTTAATTCAACATTCAGAATTGACGCAATTGCAAATTAGCGAGGTTTATCTGTAAAATAATACAGACACTTTGCGTTGCTTGTTATAGTCGTAAAATGCTTGTCTGAAGAAGTCTGACCTCGGTCAGACGAAACGTTACAGAAATATATTTTTGTTCGTGTGCAGCAAGACTCTTGAATTGAATAGCCATTTCCACTCTTGCTACAGCATCCTTGCGTAATACGCATACGGATCCACTTGCGCAAAGGCATAGAGAGCAAGGAAAGGTAGTTAGTTTCACGCAACCTCAACTGTTAGTCAAAAAAGGCTTTGTTGCCGATTTTTCAATGTTTCGATCGACGTTCTAGAGTAGACTCCTGTTGCGTATAAAAAATATTCGACTATTCAATTCGAAAAAAAAACTATTCGTTTTGCCCTCCCCTACTCGCATATCAATGAGAAATAGTTGTGATTCATTTTTGACCCCGGTCTGAGTTCGATTTATCCTGAATGACTAGACCGAATTATATTGAATATCGCAAAATTCCGGGAAACGCCATGTGCTTTTAACATTCTTGGTTAAAATAAAATGGCTGTTAATACGACCTATGTATGTTTTGAATCTGGCGATTTAGCAAATCTGGGATTGCTGCTAAAAGTTTCTTCTAATTCAATAAATAATGGCTCAAGTTTACATTTCCTTACTAAACAATGTCGTGTTGGGTATCAGAACTTTATGAATGGCTCCAATAAATTCACTAAGAAGATAACAAAGATTTGTCAGAACAGCACTAGAAAACCACACACTTTGTCCACAATACATCGATATCATTGATATTCACATGACCACTCTCGTTCAAAGAAACGCACTGTGTAGCATTTCAACATCTGGTTTCAAAAACGCCGACGAGCGTTTTTGCGGGAGAATCGGAATCGGTGTGCTTGTATAATAATCATATTATAAACGAGAATTTTGCCGTTATGCATCGATATTCACATGTACACTCTCGTTCAAAGAAACGCACTGTGTAGCATTCCAACATCTGGTTTCAAAAACGCCGCCGAGCGTTTTTGCGGGAGAATCGGAATGGGTGTGCTTGTATAATAATCATATTATAAACGAGAATTTTGCCGTTAATGCAAAAGCTTCATCTCCAAATTATGCACCACATAGGTTAGAATTCCAGCAAATATCGTTATGTAATGAAACATTGGTTTACAAATGTACTGGTACGCAACTTATTTGTCAACTTCATTTGTTAACTTTGCATTTTTGCCCTTCAAAATCGAAAAAAAGTGCTATTTCGCAGTTCCTAAAAAAAGTTGCCAAAGTGTTTCGCACTTTTCGCAAAAAAGTGCGCTAATAGTGAACACTGTTGGGCACGACAAGTCAGTTTGTCGTGCCAGTACTTCTGATAATATATTTCCTAATTCTGTACACTCGTGCTCACGTCACATTCATAGTAAAATATGCATTTGTGGTATACCTGAAACCTTAGACCTGGCATACTACGGTCCGCGGGCTAATCTGGCCCGTCTGATGCTGTCATAACCAAACGAAAACCGAATTCTGACGTTTTATTCGAAAATTTTCTCAATAAATTTTGCTTAAATTTGTACGAGGCTTATTGTTTTCCACTTTTACTTTTGTGACATTGTAAATATTTTTCTTAACTCATGTCACATTTCCATGGCCCGCCAATCTAGAAAGATAGAAAATTTTTGGCCCCTGGTTCAAAAACCTTGCCCATCTCTGCCCTAGACACATACTTCAATAAATAAATATCACAGAATAAGGAAGTATAGATTTTGGAATGCGCAATGAGTGGACATGACGTGCATGCAATAAAATACCAGGCGAGTTTATTTACTCTCATTTAACGCTATTTTATTTTTAAAATATTTTTATATAATGATTATCAAATCTAACAGATCCTCACGGGTAGTGTGATGCTGGTTACTCTTCCACACCCTGAATTTATTTTTTGCGACTGAACCCTATAAGCAAACTAGAACGTATTCACTACTTTTAAGTTAAAATTAGTGTTTATTGACATAATCCTACTGCATTTTTTTTTGTCTGTGTGACTTAAGATATGTATTTTTAAATTCCCACTCAACGTAAAACATTTTCTGCAATGTTCACACCTGGATGGTTTTTCCTTGGTGTGAACTCGGATATGCATATTCAATTTTCCATCTATCGTGGAGCACTTCCCAGGGGAGTTTGAATGTGAATGGTGTTATTCATGTGTGGGTTCTCACATGAACCTTTCTTTAAATCATTTGACGATACAAAACATTTTTCGCAAATTTTACAAGTGAACAGTTTTATCCCGTCATGTATTTGTGTATGCTTAGTCAAATGTCCCGCCAGCGTAAAAGTCTTCCCGCAATGTTTATTGTTCAAGGTTTCTTTTCTGTGAGGATTTGCACATGGTCCCGTAATTCCTTCGACGTAAAAAAAAATCCACTATGTTTGAGCGTGATGTTTTTCTCCGGTGTGGATTAGGATATGTCTTTTCAAATGTCCACCATCTGTAAAACATTTTCCGCAATGTTCACAATCATATGGCTTTTCCCCAGTGTGAGTTCGGGTATGAATATTCAAATTTGTGGCTTTCGTAAAACGTTTTCCACATGCTTGGAATTTATATGGTTTGATTCCTGTGTGCGTTTTTTCGTGGACCTTCAAATTACATGACGTTGTAAAATATTTTCCGCAATGTTTACAATCATATGGCTTTTCCCCGGTGTGAATTCGGATATGAATATTCAAATTTCCGGCCATCGTAAAACATTTTCCACAGGATTTGCATGTGTATGGTTTGATTCCTGTGTGGATTCTCTCATGAACCTTCAAATTACACGATGTTGTAAAATATTTTCCGCAATGTTTACAATCATATGGCTTTTCCCCGGTGTGAATTCGGATATGAATATTCAAATTTCCGGCCATCGTAAAACATTTTCCACAGGATTTGCATGTGTATGGTTTGATTCCTGTGTGGATTCTCTCATGAACCTTCAAATTACACGATGTTGTAAAATATTTTCCGCAATGTTTACAATCATATGGCTTTTCCCCGGTGTGAATTCGGATATGAATATTCAAATTTCCGGCCATCGTATAACATTTTCCACAGGATTTGCATTCATGTGGTTTGATTCCTGTGTGCGTTCTTTCACCTTTTATCAAACCCCACTCTAAAACATTATCCGCAATGCTTACAAGTGAATGGCTTCTCTCCAGTGTGGATTCGGTTGTGAATATTCAAATTACTGGCTCTCGTAAAACATTTTCCACAGGATTTGCATGTGTATGGTTTGATTCCTGTGTAGATTCTCTCATGAACCTTCAAATTACATGACGTTGTAAAACGTTTTTCACAATGTTCACAAAGGAATGGTTTTTCCCCTGTGTGAATTCGGGTATGCCTTTTCAAATTTCCAGCTGACGTGAAACACTTCCCACAGGATTTGCATGCATATGGCTTAGATCCTGTGTGAATTCGCTGATGAACCTCTAAAATGCTTGACGTTGTAAAACATTTTCCACAAAAATCACAAATATTGACTTTCGCTCCTGCGTGACTTTTTGAATGTATCCGTAAATATCTTTCGGTTTTAAAAGACTTCCCACAATGTTTGCAAACATGAAGTTTATTTTTAGCGAGAGTTTCCATATGGCTATTAGATGCTGCATTTGTCTCCATTTTGTAACCTTTACACCAGTGAACATCAGATCCAAGGGAAAGTCGAAATTGAATAAAATTTTATTATTAACAGGAAATGCTTTAAAATCTGTCACCTTTTAACAAGAAGTATAAGTAAGTTAAATCCATACATTGTAATTCGGTGGGTCACATTCACAATTCACAAAAGGGTACATTTTATTTATGTCAAAACCATTAAATTTTAAATTAGGTAATACATTGTGATATCTTCGATTTACTGACCTGAATTTATTTCGAATAAACATCGAACTATCAACAAGACTGTTGCCTCTATAGACAATTAAGCACAGATAGACGTGTGATCAGAAATCGAAACGCAGACCACCAAATATGCTATACCAATGTAGTTCGTCCACCTTTCTTGCCATCTCCCAAGGGCTATGTTGCAAGCACGTAGCTTACAACATAGTATTAGAAAATGAAATGTTATGATCCTTGCCTGACACTTCTTCTGCATTTAACATTATCTATAATCTATATGTCTTGAAATTCACGAGACTAACACTCCAAACCAGTGGCGTATCTAGGTAAAGTGACGCCCATGGCAAAGGTTTAAAACTCCGCCCCCTAATTCGTTTGTTTCTTTTTTTCGCTTACATGAAATTGATTGCTCTCAACTAGGGCTGTCCAAGCGAACCAAATATTCGAAATCGAAAATTATTCGAATCGTTTTTCGGCTAATTTTTGAATCGCTAAGATTAGGTACATAAAGCAGAAAGCACTTTTGCAGGACGTTTTTTATCGGGCAAGCGGCGGCGCTTCGAGTTTAGACCACTCTCGCTCCTGGCTTAATTGGTTTCTCGATATTTCTCTGTATATATTTCGTGCCTTCATTTTGTGGTAAACATGTTATTCCTAATGCCTGCCCGGCGGCACGTGATTAGCCATTTCATGCATGGTCATCATAACTTAAAAGTTATCGGTAATGACGTTTTAAGGCAATTTAGAAAACGATAGTTCTATAAATAGAATCGATATGAAGCTTTTAAGTTAGTTATCATAGGAACTTGGTACAGGCAACTCAAAGCTGAAACAGGTGTTTTGGGATCCTTATGATGGCAATACCTTATTTCAATGGATTTTGTAATTTCTTATGATGGCAATACTGTATTATTCATCAATATACCAAGACAAATAATTGCACTCTTGATTTTTGATGGCTGTTTTACACTAACAATATTAAAGTCATCAAACTAGCTTTAAATTTGTTAAATGCAATTTTGAATTTGAGCAACAGTTTTATCTATATTAATGGTTGTTATTATTTTGCTGAAAATTAAACAAAAAACATAACCCTAGTGAATAGAATTAAAATAGCATCTACAGGCTTTACATGTCCTATTAAAATTGAATCCATTAGAATTGAGATTGCAATTTTTACCCCTAACACTCAACAGTTTTCGAGACCCAAATTTTGGAGTCCTCAAATTTTTTTGACCAGTTCATACAAGCGTGTGATCTCCTTTCATAAATCTGAAAACATTGTATTGCAAAATACCAGCAGTAAGTAAGATGTAACTGCACATACGTCACCACAACATCGAAGGGCAGGCGTTTATTGTATAATAGAGGCAGATTGAGGACTGCGCAATAATATTCGATTCTAATCAAAAAATTATTTGATTTTTAAATATGGCTCTCACATACGTTTTCTTCGGTGTAACCAGCATAGAGATTCAAATTTTCATGTCAATTCAGACTTTCCATATGTGAATTTATATATGTTTCCTCAAATTTTCTTTTCCAACAACGATGTTCACTCTTCTTTGGGTGCGGAGTTGTGTATGCCACTTCTACAAACGCCTTCAAGTTATTTTTTAAGAAATACTTAATTGTTGGCGTGGTTTAGTACATGTCTTTTTGAACTCGCCGACGTTGTAAAGCATTTTTCACAAATTTCACAATGGTATGGCTTTTCTCCAGTGTTTGTCAGGATATGCTTCTTTAATGTTTTTTTCTCAGTGTGAATTCGGGTGTGCTTCGTCAAGTCTCCAGTACTCGTAAAACACTTCTCACAATATTTACAAACATATGGCTTGATTCCTGTGTGGGTTCGCACATAAAACTTTAATTGGCTCGACGTTTTAAAACCCTTGTCACACCATGTACATGCATAAGGTTTTTCTCCAGTGTGATTAAGAATGTGTTGTTTCAAATTTCCACTTTGTGAAAAACGTTTACCGTAATGATCAGGGTTTTCCCCTGTGTGAATTCGGGTGTGCTTCTTCAAACCGCCAGTACTAGTAAAACACTTTTCACAATATTGACAAACATATGGCTTGATTCCTGTGTTTAATTGGCTCGACGTTTTAAAACACTTATCACACTGTGTACATGCGTAAGGTTTTTCTCCAGTGTGATTGAGGATGTGTTGTTTTAAACTATCATTTTTTGTAAAATATTTACCGCAGTGTTTACAAGTAAATGGCTTTTCCCCGGTGTGAGATAAAATATGTATCACACTGTGTACATGCGTACGGTTTTTCTCCAGTGTGATTGAGGATGTGTTGTTTTAAACTATCATTTTTTGTAAAATATTTACCGCAGTGTTTTTTCCCCGGTGTGAGATAAAATATGTTTTTTCAAATTTCCACCCTGTCTAAAACATTTTCCGCAATGTTTACAAGTGAATGGTTTTTCTCCGGTGTGAGTTGAGATATGTCTTTTCAAATTGTCATTTGTTGTGAAACGCATCCCGCAAAATTTACATGTATAAGGTTGCATTCCTGTATGTATTCGCATATGAATCCTCAAGTTACTTGACGATGTAAAACATTTTCCGCACAAATCGCAAACATAGGGTTTTTCTCCTGTATGCCTCCGTAAATGACTTTTTGTCTTAAACGACTTCCCACAATGTTTGCAAACGTGAAGTCTATTAAACGTTGTAGCAGTCGTTTGCATTCTGTGACCCCTTTATAATCAGACAAGATATACGACAGATAGAAACCAGTAAAAATCAAATACCTATTCGCTCTTTAAATGTCAAAGTAGATATCGAAATAGGCGGTCATTATCTAAATTTATAACGATACACTGTCACCTGATAAGAAGTGGCAAAAGTCAGCTGAAGCGTAGTAAAAACATTCGAGAAAAACTCATTTGAACCGTTTTCTAGGCTTTTAATAACTGAAACAATATTACAAATAAGAACAACAGATAACAAGATGCAGCAAAAATGACGCACGATAAACCGAATAAAATCCAGCTTTGCAATGCTACAACAATTAACATGTTCACTTGGGTGCCACGTCGGCCACATTAGGTGGCAATAAGTCAATTTCACTACATAAGTCATATAGTAGAACATTTACAACTTTTCTCTCTGTACGCCACAGTTACGCAGTGAGGAAAAATGGTCAGATGTCCAGAAAAATAGATCATTTCAATAGTAGAAATATTATGATTTTGGAATAAATGGTCGAGTTATTGCTAAAATAAGGCCATTCATTTTGCCCGAGGTTAGGTAATTTGACTGTTCTCTTCATCAATGCCAAAATCAATCTAATGCTGTCATCTTCATTACCCGCCTCAATTCAAGTAAGTAACGCTTAGTGATAGTTCCCGGAAGTAGATCACTGGCCGATATCTATAGCAATGTAGTTCACAAGTTTCTATCGCAAATTATACTTAATATCTTTAAACAAATCCACATATCTGCTTGCTTACCTAGCGATATCGCATGAACACGAAAAATATAGCGTTCGCTTCACTCAACCGTTTATTAATTGAAACCACAATAGACTAATTACTGACGTATGCTGTATAACAGGGGTGGGTATAACAGGGGTGGCCAACACGTCCATCGCGATCGGCCAGTCGATCGCCATGTCTCGAGTAGTGAATTGTAGTATAGTGGTGAATTTTATAACATACCCAAAAAATTGCCTGAAACTACTTCCACGCCTGTTGTGTGTTTTAAAAACATGACCAATACAGTACTTTACATGTGCAAAATACGATATATATAGACATTTGGACCACATTTGTGTCTGGGCAAGCCCGATAAAGCGTATTATTACGTAACAAATACAAGTTTCGCTGCTGCCTAGGGGTAAAATGAACATGCCGAATATCGTGTGTCTTGAGTGACAAAACGACCCTACAATAACATTTGCAGTTTGCCAAGTTATTGTCTCACTTCAAGAGTAGTGTGATAAATTTTGTTCGCAACGTGTAAGCAGTGGCATCAGTATACCCATTTTTTTTCCAATTACAAGCGAGCAAAGAATCGGATTTGGAGGAAATTGGATATTGAAGTTTGAGCAGTTATATAACATTTAGGGTTTGAGAATATTTATTTTCCGATGTTTCAATAATACATGGATACTTGGCAAGGTTTTTGAAGAATTTTCGACAGTTACGACTAAAATTAGACAGGCCTGAGATGATTCGAATAAATCTTAAATAAATGGTGACATTTAATGCGGGTACAATAACAGTAAGAAAATTAATTTTTGGTGCTCCCGAAGTATGCGAACCAAGATGGCGGACATCGCAATGTAATATGTGTACTAGGTTAGGGTTAGGCCATAATTTTAGGTATAAATAATACGGGAGGCTCTTGGCTAGTCTTCGAACTGATATTAGGACTAAAATAAGGAAAATTGGAAAAAAATTATCGCCTAACCCTAACCTGTTACCCATGTTACGTTCCGATGTCCGCCATCTTGGTTCGCATACTTCGGGAGCCCCTAATTTTTTTGTATGCGTGTGTGCAGTTATTTGCATATTCAGTACTCAATCGTTTATGTGTATGGCCTTATTACCGATCAGTCGATCGCGAGCCATTTTGAAGATTTTAGTCGATCGCGGTCGCTGCTGTATAATTTCCTGTGTGATATCCTTACTGTACTATGGGTAGCGTATGTCACGCGTAAATGCAATTTCAACATAGTCCCATGCATGGTGAAAGAGATGAAATTATTTAGTACAGCCTAGGATCTTTGTTCCACTTTTTTAACCTCTGGTAATTTTCATACATTTCAAAATAAACTAAAAATATTTAAAACTGATATCACACACTGATGTCTGGATACTGATGTCACACCGATCGGATTCTGAAATAAATAGGATGTGTAAAACTGGATATCTGGTTTAAAATTCATACATATTGAAGCCAAAAATATAGAATGTAGTCCAAATCTGTTCTAAATGCGCTTTATATCTCAAATAAAAATTGAATACAATGCAGGACTGCTGTTCGAAAAATTACTTACCGTATATATAACCGCATTTTAGCCAAAATATAATTTCCCCGTACAAGGTCGTAAGTGCAACACACCGTTACGAATAGGAAACATTATTGCATTTAATAGGAGAGGATTTATATATTTATCCCGGGGGAGAGGAAAGCCGATAAGATGTCCGGTTACCATTCCATGTCGGGTATGGGATTAGTTAGGTATTTGTTTTTCGGAAGCATGGACTTGATGGTGGAGGAAGCCGTAATTACGTGAACCACCCAACGGCGGCGAGGAGTCCAGCAATCCTCTCGCACATAACCATCTCATCTCGCATGGGATTCGAGCCTGCGAACCCACACAGAGTAATTAGAGGTGCGGTGGCGAGCATATTCCCAACGCTTAGCATGATGAGCCACAACGCCGCGCTGTTATATATATATATAATTTCATATTAGAAATCTAATTGATTTCCATCAATAAATATTTATGGTGCTCTCATGTATGCGAGAGTGTTTTCCTAGTAAAAAAAACACAGCCACTGTTGAACAAAAATGAATCAATCAGTACCGTATTTAAAAGATTTAATCTGCCAGCGCCCGTAATCAGCATGACAGGTGATAAAACCTGACAAACGCCAGATTGCCTTTTTGAAATCCTGGCATTTCAATGATATTAATCCAGAAATGACGTCAATAAAAAACGGATCAAAAACTATCATTCTGTTAAATCCCATGCTTGTCCAGATGATTCATAAAGCTGTCAAATATTTGATGGGGAAACGGACTTTCAAGTTAACCTTGATAGACGTCAACAACTCAAACAAATACTGTTACTCATAAGTGACACAAGTTGGTGCTTTGTATGTTTATATTATCTCACTTACAGAAAAATTATTAAAACAAGTCGCTTAAAAGCACAAAAATACGACGTGCACAATAGTTTCCACAAAATATTGAAAAATATTATTATCAGTGTCAGCTTCAAACTACAACGTAATTCTTCACACTTAAGAATTGGGTCATTGATACAAATTTGATGTTCATGAGGGTCAAGTTCCCATTCAATTACACCGTTCAGTTTATCACATTCAAGTCATATTTATATTCCTTCAGAAATAAAAAGAAAGAAAACTGCCGGATATGATTTCAACTATTATTTACACTGCCATTTTTCTTGAAAACCTTGTCACGATATTGGCACATATCATTTGCATGTGTGGTTTTGTATGTGTCTATTAAACTCCACGATGTGCGACTTAAGATGTCTTTTTAAACTCCCACCTTCTGAAAAACATTTTCCGCAATGTTGACAAGTAAATGGTTTTTCCACGGAGTGAATTCTGGCATGTATCTTCAAATCTCCGGCCCTTGTAAAACCTTTCCCACACGAATTGCATTTATATGGTTTGATTCCTGTGTGTATTCGAACATGAACCTTTAATTAACCATTCGTTGGAAAACATTTCCCGCAATGTTTTTTTTTTTTCCGGTGTGAATTCGGGTATGTGTTTTTAAACCTCCCGATTGTGTAAAACACTTTCCACAATATTTACAAGTATATGGTTTCGTACCTGTGTGGATTCGAACATGGACCTTTAATTGATTCGACGTTGTAAAACACTTTGCACATTGTTTACAAGCGTAAGGTTTTTCACCGGTGTGGATTCGGATATGTCTTTTCAAACTCCCACTGTCTGTAAAGCATTTTCCGCAATGCCCACAAGTGAATAGATTTTCTTGAGTGTGAATTGAGATATGATTTTTCAAATTTCCACATGTGGAAAAACATCTTCCGCAATGTTTACAATTATATGGCTTTTCCCCGGTGTGAGTTCGGGTATGCCTAGTCAAATGTGCTTTCGTAAAACGTTTTCCACACAATTGGCATTTATATGGTTTAATTCCTGTGTGGATTCTCTCATGAACCTTCGAACCACTCGACGTTGTGAAAGATTTTCCGCAATGCTTACAAGTGAACAGCTTCTCCCGGGTGTGAATTCGGTTGTGAACATACAAATCTCTAAGCCTCGTAAAGCATTTTCCACAGGATTTGCATGCATAAGGCTTGATTCCTGTATGCATTTTTTCATGGTCCTTTAAATCACCTGACCTTCTAAAACATTTCCCACAATGTTTACAAGTGAATGGCTTCTCCCCTGTGTGAATTCGAGTATGTATTTTCAAACTTCCGGCTTGCGTAAAACATTTTCCACAAAATTTGCATGCATATGGTTTTACTCCTGTGTGTATTCGCTCATGAACCTTTAAATTGCCTGACTTTGTAAAATATTTTCCACAAAAAGCACAAACATTGACTTTCTCTTCTATGTGACCTCTCGTATGTAACCGAACACAATGGGAAGTTTCCATATGACTATTATACAATGCATTTGGCTCCATTTTGTAACCTTTACATTGGAAGAAGATTTGTGTTGAAATTGAATGAACTTTTCATTAATATTAAATTTGAAATGATTTACACAATCTGTCACCTTTTAACAAGAAGTATAAGTAAGTTCAATTTATACATCGTAGTTCAGTTTGGTCACAACTGGCAAATTCGTACATTTTATTCATGTCGAAACCATATAGTCTTAAATTAAGTAATGCATTGCGATATCTTCGACATACTATCCTTACCTGGCCTATTTCTTTCAAATAAACAACGAATAATCACCAAGACTGCTGCCTCTATAACAAAACAATCAAGAAGCACAGACAATTGAACTTAGCCAACAATTCCATAATTTGTTTGAATACCTCCCACAATTTGGTGCTTTTGACGAAAATAAATACAGCGAAATATTTTTATTCATCGCCACGTACAAAATATTAACTGCCTGAATTTACGCTTTACACTAAATATTTGGTACTCCTGAAGTATGCGCACCAATATGTCGCAACAATCTGAACCCTAACCTCGTACACAACCTGAGTTCAGGTTGTGCGCCATCTTGGTTTCATCGAATAGTTCAGAGTCAGAGTTATTTTATTTGTCACTTCAAAAAACAAGCAATCAAGAACAAAATATTTGTAATAAATAAATATTGAAATGACAGCTGTTAAGGACGGAATGATCCGCCATCAAGTCTACAACACCTTTAGAAAAAAAAAATGGATAGAAGAAACAAATAAAAAGAGTAATTAATAGTTCGTGCGCAAGGTAACGGATACCACAAATAGACCTATGGGTTATAGATTGTCAAATGTTAAACGCTTCCAGTACCGGTACCGTACCCAAAGCAACATTGCAGCATTTGCAACATGACGTCATCGGAAACACCGCGATCATTAAAATTTTACTGAACGATTATCAAATATCTTGACCATGTTTATCATGATAAAAATATCAAAAATAATGTAAAAAATATTCTATCCTCAAAACTACACACTTATACGATGAAACATATCTAGAAAATCCAAAAAAATGCAAATTTCTGCTCTGGTGATCACATTTCCCATAAGAGCTAATGTTAAAAAAAAAAATTTTACATCACCTTTATTTTTGCACGTGGGATGGGTTTTAAATGACTAAGGTCTATTGCCCCTATGCATTTTGAAAAGCGTGGAACTTACAGTATTCATAAATTTCAGTCTGATATTCTCAGCATGTCTGCTAAGGCTTGTAACCTAATTCCATTCTGATCACTAAAGTTATTCCTTTCCATCTGCGTGTCCATAATCAATAAGAATAAATAAATAAACCAGAGGTACGCAATAAAAAACCTTTTACACATGTGCAGATCCCCTTATTCGAGAAAATATCAGTGAGACTTCTACTGCTGCATTGCCGCTGATAGTGATTTTAAATTGGGTTTATATTTTGTAACTTCATACACGAACTACTGGTTTCATCTTTCAGACTGCTCCTGTTACAAGACTTAATGAAGTTAATAACTGAGAACAGAGGTAATTGAAACCATGAAGAGTAATGCAATTGCAAAGTTTTCAATATACGGAAAAATTTCGGGAATGGCCTCCCAGTCAAGCAATAGTTTGTTATTTGCACTTCCCTTATGTATTCCCTTCCCCAATCACTTATATTTGTTTCGAAACCAATTTATAACAGTAAGTTAGCAAGTAAATCTAACTAACCTGTACAACTTCATAAATCAAGCATAAATGAAGAAAAAGAGTGGCACAGACGAACTATATTATGTAGGAATGTAGCCAAATGAATACTGCGTTGTTTACGACAAAATTTCGGGGAAACTCACTCATATGTTACTAGCCATATGTAATGAAGGGAAAAAGGGTCTGGTATAGTTTAGTACCACATGCACTTCTAGTTGGCCTGGCTCAACAATTTTTGCATATGTCAATCCTAACCCTCACCTGACTACGTCACCCAAACATTACGTCATTTCGACGTCACAGTGGCAAAATAATGCCCACCAAAGTATGCGAATGGTTGTCCAGAACGCTCAGACGAGCAAGCTATTACCGTACTCTTGTTTTCTCGTCACAACGATCACGATAGGAGAGAGATCGCTGGCTTTATCGGCGGCGCAGATGTCATTTCGGGCGATCGTAATTATACTTTGGCAAGACCTATGAAGTGATGGCGACGTCGTAGTGATGTAATTTTTGGATGGCATAGTCAGGTGGGGGTTAGGAATAACATATGCAAAATTCGTTATGCTACGCCCACTGGAAGTACCTGTGGTACCGGTACTAAACTATACTAGACCAGGGAAAAAGAGTTTAAAAAACACCACCCGGTTTCATCAGATAATTCAGAGTCTGGAAACTTGTGCCAGGCGTTGTCCACCTCTGGTGTAGAAGTACCGGTATGACGTGATGGCGACGTCGTAGTGACGAATAGTCAGGTGGGTGTTAGGAATAACATATGCAAAATTCGTTATGCTACGCCCACTGGAAGTAGCCTACCTGTGGTACCGTACTAAACTATACTAGACCCGGGAAAAAGAGTTTAAAAAACACCACCCTGCCACCCGGTTTCATCAGATAATTCAGAGTCTGGAAACTTGTGCCAGGCGTTGTCCACCTCTGGTATAGAAGTACCGGTACCGTACCTATCTGAAGATTCAAAACCTTCGGAAAATACTCTCAGTGTGGTGTTTTGCGACATACCAGTACCAGTTCTGCATAAATATCATTTTCGGGTTGTCAAACAATTCAACAACAGCGAATCTTTTTTTTTTTTTTTTTAAACGCTCACAAATGTGTTAAATGTGATACAGTAATAATCATAGAAATAATGGGGAAAAATTTTTTTACAATTATTGTGCGAATGACCGATAGACTATCTATAGCAGTGATTCTCAAACTAGGGTTTGAGAGCCGCATGCGGCTCTCAACAACCTTTCCTGCGGCTCCCGTACTCTCTAGGATCGGCCTGGTCATGAATGGCAGATCTGTGTCATAATTTGGGATTATGGCTAAATTGAATCTATTTTGGGGGGTAAATAGTATTTCATAGTGGTCTGCATGTGAACAAAACCAATTTCAAAACTCAAAATGTTTGAGTTTAAATTATCCATGCTTGATCCGAGTGTTCTCAATTACGGTGACGTCATCATATTTTTTTTATGTATAATTTTTATTTTGCAACTAGGTCAAATTTATTTGTATGAGTATTTCAAAGCCTAGAAATAAACAAATATCTGTTGTTAGTTGAAAACGAAGTATTTTGAACGCGCGAGCAACGTTCTCCGGCTCATAATAAACAAACAAAGATACCAGACAGCACGCGATCAAATGCTCTTCGATAAAACGAATATCACTTCACTTACAAATCCCACTTTTGTTTTATTTTGAAGGTGACGTAAAACTCGTCCAAAGGAAAACTCTTTCTCTCGCATATCAATCACGTGTTGACCACAGCGTTAAAAGTGAGAAACTTTTTCTCGAAATTTTTTGAAATTTCTCTCTTCTTACCGGCATATGGTCGGACGCATTTACGCTACGTAATTTGGGCGCGTTTTAGTGGAAAGCGACGAAAATAAGCTTTTTAGGGACACATTAATGATGTCTTTGGCATTTTTGGTTGGTGTTTTTTTTTAAAAAATTATAGAGGGGTGTCAAAATGACCCAGGAACACCAGGGGTCATTAGGTTTGTTTTAAAAATTAATTATTTTCAAAGAAATTTTTTCATCGAAAACTAATCATTGACTCGAAATTAAAATGCTGAAGTTTATTAGTCAATCGAATGGATTCCCCCGTGTTTATTTGCGTAGCGTTGACTAACCTATAAGATGCAATAGTGACGCGACAGTGAGCGTTTTCGCGGCCAATCGGACACTTTTCACTTGGAAAGATTTTAGACATGGCTGTAATCATTGGCTTGCTTTCGTGGATTTTCAGTTTTTGTCGCATTTCCAGATCTTATGTATAAATCAAATAATTCGATGATTATTTTAATTTCTATAGCATTTTAATTTTGTTACAGTAATCGAAAATAGTCCCGAAAAATCTGGCGATCATCTCAAGCAGCTACTGCAGCTTGCATCCTCAACGATTACGACCCGCTTTGACAAACTTATTAGAAATCAAAGCCTAATTAAAAAGCTGTTAGGGTAGGGTGGGCAAAATTGAATCTTTTTTCGAATCGGATAATTTGAATGTTTTTTTTATACATAACAGGGATCCAGAACGTCTGAGGTCGATACTCCATTAGGAAATTAATAGAAACATTAGAAAGTCGGCAATAAAGCGTTTTTTAATGGTTAATTTTATCATAATTTCTGATTGTCTTTGTCACCGCGATCGTTTTGGCGGCGATATCCTAAAGTTGGTATTCTATATTTCCGCCCTTTCTCGTTTTTGCAAGAATAAGCGGTCGCCGAATATCGAAATTCCATATTTCTAGTATACCCTTGCGTTCACATCAGCGACAGCTGTTGAATACATTTAAGGACTGATTTCAAAACCAAATTAATTCTATTCTAAGGTTCGATCTTCCGTGTCACCGCTTGTAAATTAACCGTGCATGTTTAAAGTGAACGGTAACCGAGATGCAGATATTTATTATAATGATATTTAAGTTTCTCATGCTTTTCTATGGTGTCCGTGTTATTTTAGTATTAGATAGATAAACCTAGCAAATTTACAATTGCGTGAATCCTGAATGTTGATTTAAAATAGCGATTAAATAAATTGGCAATAAAGGCATTTCTAGGCCTTTGTGCCTAATAGAGGGTCAGACTCTAATTATACCTAATTCCTTCAAGTTTTAACGTTTTTTTTTCAACTAAACAACACCCCGATGGTTATTATAGCTAAAATACGTACTGAGTAATGCTCAATTTTCTTTACGAAATTTGCAAATTCAGCACTTCACTTAATGATTTTGATTATGTCGTGCTTTGAGGCTTAATTAACTGCCCAAATGCTTCAAAATTTAACAATTGTAATCATTTTCGATGATAATAGACGCAACAATTCGTGAACGAGTCAGTGTGCATT